GAACAGAAACTCCAGAAATCAGCTCCCACATCTACAACCAACTTACCTTTGACAAAGGAGCTAAAATCAATCTCTGGAATAAACACAGTCTCTTCAACAAATGGTACTGGGAAAACTGGATCTTTGCATACATAAGTATGAAACAAGACCCCTACTTTACACCTTATACAAAAAATCCACTCAAAACAGATCAGTGACCTAAATCTACAGCCTGATACCATCAAATTATTAGAGAACACTGGGGAACCCTGCAAGACATTGGGATAGACAAAGAGTTCTTAGAAAAGACCACAGAGGCACAGCCAGTCAAAATCAAAATTGACAAATGGGATTACATCAAATTGAGAAGCTTCTGTATTGCAAAAAAACCACTCAGGAAAGTGAAGAGGCAACTGACAGAATGGGAGAAATTATTTACAAAATAGGCAACTGCTCCACTTCTAATCCAGCTTTCCGCTATGGCCTAGGAAAGTGGTACAGGATGGCTCAAGTCCTTGGGCCCCTGCACACACATGGGAAGAAGCTCCGGGCTCCCGGTTTCAGATCGGCCTAACTCCAGCCACTGTGGCCATTTGGGGAGTGAATCAGCGAAAAAAGACCTTTCTCTCTCTCTGTCTCTTTTACCTCTGCTTCTCTTTCAAGTAAATAAATAAATCTTTAAAAAAAAAAAAAAGGATTAGGCCAGCGCTGTGGCTCACTAGGCTAATCCTCTGCCTGCGGCGCTGGCACTCAGGTTCTAGTCCCGGTTGGGGCACTGGATTCTGTCCCGCTTGCTCCTCTTCCAGTCCAGCTCTCTGCTTGGCCCGGGAGGGCAGTGGAGGATGGCCCAGGTCCTTGGGCCCTGCACCCGCATGGGAGACCAGGAGGAAGTACCTGGCTCCTGGCTTCAGATCAGCACAGCACGCCAGCCGTGGCAGCCATTTTGGGGGTGAACCAATGGAAGGAAGACCTTTCTCTCTGTCTCTCTCTCTCACTGTCTAACTCTGCCTATCAAAAAAAAAAAAAAAAAGATTAAAAAAATAAACTTAAAAACATCTCCTAATAATAAAAAATTCAATACATCAATTTCTAAAAGGCTCACAGAAAATGGGTGGGCTTTCTTTAGGAAACTCAAAGTTCGCACATAAATTTAGCTATTTATGTTAAACTGTTAATCTTCTTCTAAATGACTTGCTTCTGTGACATATTCAATTAAATAATGCTGTGGCAGAACATTACCTTATATGGCATAATACTGCTAGCAACACAGAATGTAGCTGGTTAATAATATTTAAGGAATGAATATTAAAGAATAAAAACGTGCCTGAATTGTTTTATCCATGTACCTTACAACTAAGAAAATTGGAGACAGTAATGTATCATAAACTACCAAAAGCTCAAAAAATTACTAGGCCCTTGGCTAGCTTTAGGTAAGATTTGAAGATAGCTCAAGATCATTAATTTTAGCTCAAAGAGTAATTAGCTTTATATAATTTGCAATTCATTCATTCCACAATATTTTTCATGATGTCTGTCACATGTGAAGCTTGAATATACAGAAAGGCTGTTCTGATATATCATGGGAAAATGCTCTTGCAATTCTGCTTAGATCCATGTAATCATAAGGTTATTTAACAGTTTTAAAAGTGCCATTACCTGGGGCCTATATTCTGGCACAGCAGGTTAAGTCTCTGCCCGTGATGCTGGCATCCCATATTAGAGCACATGTTCAAGTCCCAAATGGCCCACTTTCAATCCAGTTTCCTGCTATTACTACTTGGAAAGCAGCAGATGATGGCCCAAGTACTTGGGTCCCTGTCACCCATGTGGGAAACCCAGAAAGTTCTAGGCTCCTGGCTTTCAGCTTGGCCATTGCAGCTGTTTGGGGAGTGAATGGGCAGACAGAACATTTCTTTCTCTCTGTCCCTCCCTCTCTCTCTCTGTAATTCTGACTTTCAAATAAACAAATATATTTTATAAAAAAAAGTCTACTTTCTGATCTACATGGACTATATAAGACTACCAGATACAGATGCAGGAGCCCAGCACAGTATCTGCATACTATTCAACTATAACCTAAAGAACAGAAGCAAAAAGGAAAAAGAAAAAGAAAAAGAAAAGAACACAAGTAAGAATTCTGACTTCAATAAACTTATTATTAAGGAAATTAGAAACAAATATAATTTTAGTGCTAGGTAAAAAGTAATTCAGTATTAGTTATAATAAAGTGTTTTGAGAATTCTGGAAAGCAACTACTACTTAACTTCAGGAAGAAGTATTTGATCTGGGAGATAATCTGACCATACAGTGATCAAGAGAGAGAAAACATGGCAGCAATGGAGGAAAAAATTTTTCAAAGTAAAACTGAGGAAAGCATAAAGAATCAAAGAAAAAGTAAGTAGCTTCATTTGGTTAGAACCAAATCAATGTGAAAGAATTAGAAAATTGAAAAGGTAAACTGGAACTAGGACCAGATTATAAATGGCCTTGAATCCCAAATTAAGGCATTTGAAATTAAGTACAAAATCGCATGTTTTGAACTATGCTGAAGGAAGACAATTACGCAGAAGTACATAAACTAAATTAGGAGATTGAAAAAGGATATGTGGAGAGATACTTATAAGACTATTGCAGTAGAAGATGGCCCAAGTCCTTGGGCCCCTGCACTGCATGGGAGACCTGGAGGAATCTCCTGGCTCCTGGCTTCAGATCGGCACAGCTCCAGCTGTTGTGGACAGTTGGGGAAAGAACCATCAATGGAAGACCTCTCTCTCTCTCTCTCTCTCTGCGTAACTCTGACTTTCAAATAAATAAATACATCTTTAAAAAAAAAAAAAGAAAGAGAGAGAGAATACTACAGTAGTCCTGGTAAGAGATACTAAAGACCTAAACTACAGTATCACAAAAAGAACTGGGGAGTTAGGGACTGACAGATTTTCTTTTAATGATTATTAATTTTCACCTACTTGAAAAGCAGAGTGAAATCTTTCATCCCCTTGCTCATTTCCCAAATGCCTAAAAAGCCACAGGTGAGCGAGGATGAATCCACGAGCCCAACCACTTGAGCTGTCATCACTTGCTGCCTCCCAAATTGTATTAGCAGGAAGCTGAATCAGAACCACCACTCTGCTACTGGATGTGGGTGTATCAAGCAGTAGCTTAACCCACAGTACCACAACAATCTGCCTCTGATATGATATTTCGTTGTAGTGGATCAGAAGAACTGATTGCTGGAAGCAAAGAGTAGGAACGATTACGACATAAACTGTATAACTGGGAAGATGAAAATATTGTTAATATAAATGGGGGGAAACCTCAACTAACACAACTAGGAAGTCAAATACAAGAACCCTTTTAGTCTAGTAATATTCTAACTTGTTTTCATTTGCATGTGCACGCACAGATGGGACAAATATATATATGTACTATATTCACATATATATATGCACAAACACTTCTGCTCTTTGCAGAAAGAGGTAAACACAGAGATAATATATATGGTTGCTAACTGCTCTCTTGGCAGTTTTGAAACTTGTCTCTAAAGAACGAGTTTTTAAAACACAGGGACCAAAGTGCTTGGGCCCTGCACCCGCATGGGACACCAGGAGGAAGCACTTGGCTCCTGGCTTCGGATCGGCACAGCACGCCGACCATAGCAGCCATTTGGCGGGTGAACCAACGGAAAAGGAAGACCTTTCTCTCTGTCTCTCTAACTCTGCCTGTCAAAAAAATTAAAAATTAAAATAAAATAAAATACGGGGACCAGTGTTGTGACACAGCAGGTTAAGCCACCACCTGTGATGTCAGCATCCCATATAACTGCCAGTTTGAGTCCTGGCTGCACCACTTCTGATCCAGCTCTCTGCCTAATTCATCTGGGAATACAGCAAAAGATGGCCTGAGTACTTGGGCCTCTGCCACCGAGGTGGGAGATCTGGATGGAGTTCCAGGCTCCTTGGCTTTGGCCTGGGCCAGCCCTGGCCATTGTAGCCATTTGGAGAGTGAGCCAGAGGATGGAAGATTTCTCTCTGGAACTCTGCCTTTCAAATAAATAAGTAAGCCTAAAAAAAAAATGAAAGAGTGGAGGGAGGGTGTGATTGAGGGAGGGAAGAAAGGTATGGGATAAGTATCATTATGCTCTTAAAACTATATATATGGGGCTGGCACTGTGGCACAGCCGATTAAACTACTGCCTGCAGTGCCGGCATCCCAAATGGGCGCTGGTTTGAATCTCAGCTACTCCACTTCTGATCCAGCTCTCTGCTATGGCCTAGAAAAGTATTAGAAGATGGCCCTAGCCTTGGGCCCCTGCACCTGCGTGGGAGATCCAGAAGAAGCTCCTGGCTTTGGATAGGCACAGCTCTGGCTGATGTAGAGTTACTTTCTGCAGAGTTACAGACGGTGAGAGGAAGAGACAGAGAGAAAGGTCTTCCATCTGCTGGTTCACTCCCCAAATGGCTGCAATGGCCAGAGTTGCGCCAATCTGAAGCCAGTAGCCTGGAGCTTCCTCCTGTCTCCCACACAGGTGCATGGGCCCAAGGATTTGAGCCATCCTCTACTGCTTTCCCAGGCCACAGCAGAGAGCTGGATTGGAAGAGGAGTAACCAGGACTAGAACCGGTGCCCACATGGGATTCCGGCGCCACAGGCAGTGGATTAAACTAATAGGCCACACCACCGGCCCTCTGTGTAACTTCTGACTTTCAAATAAATAAATAAATCTTTCAAAAAAAAACTGTATATATTAAATATATGAAATGTTTGTATAAATAGAAAGTTAAAAAATAAATCTTTAAATATACATATGTAATAAAATGTAACAAATAATGAAACATTTTATTTGCTTTTGAGGAACAATATACTTACATAAAGGTATACAATTTCTCTAAAGATCATGATATTCCACCCTGACCCAAAGGACAAATTTTACTACTCATTATGGGAGGAGTTGCTTAAGATCAAATAATATAACAAAGTATAGTGTTTTGAAAGTTCAAGACATTCTGCTCCGTTTGCACTTACTCTCTGTAACTCCCATTTCTCAATAAGGTGTTCCACTTCACCGCCAAGAACTGTGGTGTTAGAGTCATCCAAGAGCAGGAAGCCATTTTTTATGTCAACAACACCAGAGAGCTTAACTTTAGTTCCAGGTGGTGTGTTCAGGCTACAGCAAAGAAAAAAAAAATTAGAAATACAGAGACGCTCCTCCCCCAAACTGGAATTCAGTCTCATATTACAACCTAATCAAACTCTTCACAGGTCACTGACAGCAAAACTGTTTTTCAAAGAGAGTGGCCATACAGACTGACTAGAACACCAGGGAGGAAGTCAGAAAACCAAGAACAAGACAGTCATTTTCTAGCTTAATGACAAAAACGTGGGTAGCAATAATCACACCATACAATGTTGTGGTAAACAAAATAAAAGATATGAAAATACTTGCTCACACCATGTTACACAAATATAAGATTTACCATTTTATTCTCTTAGCTTTAGCTGTGCACTATAAATATATACCATGCTATAAAATTAAATTTCAATATGGAAAAAGCATAATCACTAATAATCCTAGAAATCCAATATCTATATAAAGTACAGGAATCCTTATAAAATAATGTTTTATGTTATAACCAAATGTGAGTCATTCATACAATAACTTTTAAAGGATTTTTTACACACTAACTTCATACTGTTTACTGTTTAAATACTTATTTAAAAGAATTTTCCTATCATAGGCTAATACTAACAGACCACAACTCCTTTTAGAAGAACAGGAGACAAGATGTTCATCCTCCTACCAACATTTTAGTAAAGGAAACAAGGGAACCAATTCTTGTTATCACAAAGGTCTGCTCTAAAGTAGAAGCATATATAACAAGCTTTTCCCACACACAACAAGGGTTAAAGTACTCCAGACATATTTCTGATATAACATCATATTGTCTGTGTTTTTGAAACTCATGAAATCAACAATGTCCTGATATAAGCAGCAGCAAATCAGCAAATGTTTATATCACTAGATTTTTCTCTAGAAAGATCATTAATAAAATAGTTATTAACAAGAAGAAATAGAGTATGCCTTTTTTTACTTTGTCAAGACCCTACACAGAGAAAGATTATATATTAAAAATTATTTGGCATACCTTACAGTTATATAATTTTTATATATTAATGATAATAAAGCCATTAGAAATTATCTGCAGACCCCAAGTTTAACATTCTTGGTTATCACAACTTAAAAAACAAATGGTCCTGAACAACCTTTCTAATCTAACACCTAAGAAGAGAGTTGCATGGTGATATATGTAGTAGAATTAGAACAAAGCAATCAGACTGCAACATTAGCAATAATGAATACTGTTACATTAAGTGAATAAGTTTTTCCCATTTCTAGGTAATCAGCAAACCCAGTTTTTATAACCCTATAGTCACCATTTAAGTATAAATAAAAAAGATCAACACCAAGGATCCTAGGCTGCTACATTCTTTGCCTATAAAGAAGTTATTAGTGAATTGTAACATTTACCTAAAACCTGTGTCTGTGTTCTCAAAACCACTTTTTAATAATCCTCACAAATCAGAAAATGTAATGAAAATGTAAGAACACAATAAACTAGCAATATGAAGAAGTACGTAAGACCTTAAAATCAGATAAAAATTAGAGGCATTTAAAATATGGTAACTTTAAAACTAAAACCTCATCTGGGAGCAGATGAGAAATGAATTTTTGCATTAAATGAATACACCATCCCAAACTCTTCCTAAAAGTCAATATATTAGAGGATGGACCTAGAATACTGTTAAGACAACTGACAGAGTCCCACCAGAAGACAGATCTATTCCCATGCAAAAGGACAATAGGGGGTAAAATTTTAACATAATTGCTACTGCACTGCCCTCAGGATCATAATTAACTCCTATTCAGAGAACATATTTTGGTTAATTGCTGTTTTTGCTGGCATCCCAAGGTACCTTTACTCTTTCTTCACCACAATTAACAAACAAAACAAAATTCAATGGTTTGTGAGGCAAGAGGCTGAACAGAAGAGTGCAAAGAAGTGTCCCAGAGAAACATGATGACCATTTGAGGCAACACATCCCTACCAGCACGGAGTTTTTTCACCTTCCTTCTCAGGTAATGATTGATCAAATCGAGCTGAAAACAGGCTTCCACATTGGTCACATACAATAACATTTTTGGAAGCTGTCATTCTTATGTCACCAAAAGGAGACATGCTGCTTGGATGATGAGTGCATGAGAATGGGATAATAATGTTTTCAATTATCAAACTGCAAAAGATTCAGCAAAAGGGGACAGTAGCCCATAATGGGCAGAACACTCCCCTCAGGCTGACTTTGTGTTTTCATTCCCCTCAGAGAAAAACACAGCTATGCAATCATAGAAAGAGTCATTCTATGGGCAGCCTTCCTCTTGAGTCACCTCTGAACTCCCTTGAAGAGGGTCCAATAGGAAGGACTGTTCTTCCCCAAAAAGAGGAAGCCTTCTCCCCCTCAAAAAGAAGACAACAGAATCACAAAGTCAATAAACCCTCTTAATAAAAGAAAATCAACATTGTAGACAAACATATACTGCAACTTCAGAGAAGGGGCCTCCCTTACCAGAAAGGGGGAGAGGAGAATCACTGAGGATGAAAACAAGGCCTCAACCTGTACGTTTCCTCCCATATACCACCTAAGCGCATCTAAATGGGGACTTCTCACTTCTGTTATCAGGACCTTGTCTCTGCATGTGCAACTCCCTCTTCCATCTTTTTCAACATTCCTGCTCATATTTAAGTCCCAGTCCTCGTTAGACTACTGGTCCTTCCCCTGGTATATTTACTATAATAACTGTATGCCTAAAGCTTACCTCATTAGCATATGAGCCATTGGTTTGGCAAAAGCTCAACTATATTTATATTTGTTCTCCCAGCATTGCAGAAAGAAGCTGGGACACAAAGGATGCTGATACTTGATAAATACTTACTTGTTCAGGAGAAAAGTATGATCTGGGAGCACATATTCAGCAAAAAAAAGTTCATAGGACACAGAGTAGCAAATATGAGCATATAAAATAACTTAGAAGAAGGAGAGGTTAATAAGAGGGGTTTGCAATTGTCCAGTGAGATTTTCCACTTCAAAATATAGTGTTCAAACTGGCCTAATGAGGAAACTAAGGATAAAGGTAACAGATTCCCTCCTTCTCACTGCATTTCTCAACACAAAAAGGCAGGATTCTCAATGCATCTCATAAAAATAGTCAAAGAAGTATTTGCAAATTCAGTCCTTAGGGACTCTTTGTCTTAGGGTGGCATGTGAATCTCCCTGATTCCAATCATTTCCTAAAGAAACCCATTACCCTGGGGCCAGGGCTCTGGCATAGCAGGAAAAGCCACTGCCTGCAGTGCTGGCAAGTCCTGACTGCTCCACTTCCAATCCAGATCCCTGCTAATGCACGTGGGAAAGCAGTGGAAGATGGTCCAGCTCCTTGGGCCCCTGCACCCACATAGAAAACCTGGAAGAAGCTGCTGGTTCCTGGCTTCGGATCTGCACAGCTCCGGCCACTGCAGCAATTTGGGGAGTGAACAAGCAGATTGAAGATCTATCTCTGTCTCTGTCTCTGTCTCTGTCTCCCTCCCGCTGCCTCTATAACTCTGCCTTTCAAATAAATAAATCTTAAAAAACATTGTTAAAACATTACACTATTATACACACAGTTATTTACTAAGCTAACTATTAAGGAAGAAATCAACATATTTGAAGAAATATTCTTTGTTCTGAACAACTGAATGATAAAATTTAAGATTGCTTTTCAAGCAAGAATAACTTACTCTCCTGGTTTTACAGTTAACATTGAATTAAAGAGCAACTAACTCCATTCTTAGCTTTTTCTCCCATACATATAAGGCTGAAATACAAAGATCTAACTTCTTCTGAAAGATCATAACATATACTTAAGAGTTCCTTCCTTCTTTCCAAACTTCATAAAATACAATATATATTAAATAGCACTTCCATACACTCTATAACAAAATAGACGAAATAAAGCCCCAAGTACCTTATTTTTGACATATAACTAAATTCCACTGCTGTGCAACTTATATGACCATCTGTCATCTGCAAGCGCAGCATCCTGGGTGCAGCCTGAGACTCTTCGTTGTCCTTTGGTGCAGCAACATTGCGAATTTTTTGAATTTGCAAAACACATGGACCTTCAAGCTGTCAAAACACAAATGAACAAAAATCACTCTCTAATCATGGTTGCATTTCTGTACTTTGATGGTTATACTTTACTATTTATAATAATAATTTCAATTAAGTTCAAAACTAAAGTTAGTTAAAGAAGTCTTCAAAAACTTCACCCATAAACTTGTAAAGTTCTATCATATATATCATGTGGGTTTTTTTTGGATGGAGGTATTTAAAGATTACAAAAATATTTAGAGTCCCCTGAAGAACAATTTCTTTTTAAAACTCTGAATTAATTTTCAGGCAGTAAGAAGCAAAGAAAACCCTAGCAAAACAAGTTATCTTACTGGAATGAAAAACAAATTAAGTATTGCTTTTTTTCTTTATGTGCTCTGAACTATTCACATTCATCCTATTTCTACACCCACCTATACCAAGGGATGTTAAGAAAATAAAGAACTTGGCAATTTTTAAAGGTACATCAACTTTACGGCAGTAGTTAAAAGGAATGCTTTCTGCTCAAAATCATCAAATTTAAACTGCACCCTCTTCTGGTACAAATGAAGAATACAAAGCTCCAAAACCTTAAAACTACATAAATTTCAAGAAGCGTAAGTTGTACTTGATATTTTCTTTCTTAAATCATATTAAATCTATTGCTGAATTATATGTGTTGGCAGTGAGGAGAATTGTTCTTCAAGGCAAATTTCAATCAAAGACAAAAATGAAATCAATATACCAGCTACAAAGTTAATGCCTATGAAGTTGGGAAATGACAGTAAAATCTGCTTATATGCTGAAAACTAAATTTAACAAAGTTATAATTTCTACATAATAAAATATATCTTTAGTATCATAATGTATGGGAAAAATAATTTATTTTTAATAAACAGTCTTTTAAATAAAATATTTGTGTGCATATTTAATTTATACTTTCAGCAAAGAAAAATGTTAATGATTAGCAAATACTTACACTTAATTTTCCATGCTAGCATGTTCACTAATTTAAATTTTTTCTACTCCATACTTACCAGTAGTTTGCCTACAAAAGAATAATTGTTATAAATTTAGTTCTAGTGAATATAATCAGAAAAAAATTCTGAAATTTCATCTAATTACCCATTAGGAAAAAGTTAATTTCAAGATGAAACAAGTGCCAAACCCTTAACAGATATAGAAAACCACTGAATTCAGGAAGAACTTTTTCTTTGGGTTTTGTGAATAGCATCAAAACACAGTTATTGAAATTAAATCATAGACCAGTTATAGTGTTTATACTGTTTACCGTTCTCATTATTTTAGGGCTCCTAATATTTTAAGCCTGGACACTGACAAACATCTTGCCTACACTATCCAATATGGTCCTTCAGCCACATGTGGCTATTCAAATTTGTATTTAAATTAATTAAAATTAAATGATACTAAAATTCAGTTGTTCAGTTGCACTAGCAATAGTTCAAGTGTTCTGTATCTAGAAAGCACAGAAACTATTTATATCACTGAAAAAAGTCCACCAGACAAATAGTGATGACCTAGTCTTACATGTTCCTAAGTGAGATTCATGCATTCCAGGGACTGAGCTCCTATCAAAGTATGAGACAGAAACATGGGTTTCTATTTAATTTTTAACAATAAAGATATTAAACTTTATAAATATTTGATATCCAGAGTGACAAGGGTACCCTTATTCAATCCATATGAAATGGAGGTCACAAACCATCTCTGTGAAACAACAGGAGTGCTACACCCCATGAATGTTGACATGGCACCTTCAGCAGCTTGCTTTTGATGTATGGTGGCAAACTGCATTTTATTTATGCACTGTAAATTGGATAAATACATTATATTAGATAGTTTTAAACACTAATACTCACAAAATGAACAGGTCACTTTAAAACATACTGCCTTGGGGCCTGCATTGTGGCATAGCAAGTAATGATGCCGCCTGCATTGCCAGCATCCCATAAGGGCACCGGTTCAAGTCCCGGCTATTCTACTTCTGATCCAGCTCTCTGCTCTGGCCTGGGAAAGCAGTGGAAGATGGCCCAAGTGCTTGGGCCCCTGCACCTGCATGGGAGACTGGAAGAAGCTCCTGGTTCCTAGCTTTGGATCATTTCAGTTCCAGCCATTGCAGCCATTTGAGGAGTGAAGCAGTGGATGGAAGACCTCGCTCTCTCTCGCGCGCTCTCTCTCTCTCTCTCTGCCTTTCAAATAAATAAGTAAATCTTAAAAAAAAAAAAAAGATACTGCCAAAGAAACAGAAATTGAAGATAATGTAATTGAGGAAAACAAAGGTAAGAGTAGGACTATTTTGCTGATCTCCTACATCTAGTTGAAAATGAAAAGAAAAAGCTGAAGAATGACAGGAACACCTGCCCCCAACTCCTGACATTATAGCAAGCAGCAAGTCCACATAATTAATCCAACTCCTGGTCTCTGCACCACTGTTAATGGATTGAATAGTTGTTGCTTCCAAAAGACAGGTAAACTCAGAAGATAGTTTCCCATTTGGGAAAAGGGTATTTTCAAATGCAAGGTAAAGATCTTTAAGATGGAAACATCTTGAAGGAGTGTGGGTCCTAAATTCAAAGATGAGTATCATTAGGAAGAAGGGGAAACAAACAGAAATGAAGTATACAGACCAGGTAAAAAGAGAAAGAAATTGAAGTTATGCATCTACAAGACAAGAAAGGTCAAGGACTGCTTACTGCACCGAAAGTTACAAAAGAAGCACAAACAGATTCCTACTAAGAGACTCCTAAAAGAATCTGCTGACACCTTTGATTTTAGACATTTGGCCTATTGAAATGGAAGAAAACAAATTTCCATTGTTTTAAACCACCAAGTTTGTGATAATTTGTTACAGTACCCAAAGCTAACTAATGAACCCACTTACAGAATGCTTTATCAGACTAGGAAGAATATGCTTAAGTATTGGCCTATGCTTCACATTCCTTTCGTAAATTTTTTAACATTTAAAATTTTTCAACATTTTATCATATTCAATTCACACACAGATATTATTTACAAATATGTAACTTTTTTCTTGAAAACAGGATACTGTATCACAAAATGTGGGATTCGTGACAATGATCATAAAAGAGCAAAAGAAAGGATATTGTCACATTCATGGTATAACTGCATATGATAGAATATTACTCAACTATAAAAAGGATAGAAATCCTGACATCTGCAACAAAACAAATAAAACTGGTGATCGTTATGCTAAGTAAAATAAGCCAGACCCAGAAGGACAAATATTACATGTTTTCTCTTATTTGTGGAAGTTAATATAGAGAGAATATAAAAATTGTTAGAGCATATAACATATATTGTTTTATGTAGTCCTGTTAGGTAGGAAGTTAGAAATGAGCTTATGTGTGTGTGTGTGACAAAGGCCTAAGGAGCTGACATCTAGGTCCAGCATCCGCATCTCAAAGTTATCCAGATAACCTTCCAGGTGCAGCCCAGTATCTGCACTTCAAATGCCCTGCCCCTTTTGCCCCTTCTACTGGATAACCATCCTTCCTCTAAGGCTCCTCTAAGGCAGGGTGACGCCAGCCAGGCTTTCCCTGTCTGATAACTTCAGGGGGAAAACTTAGAAAGGAATTTTTGGTATTTACATCCAAAAAGTCCTTTTTTCCAGGAGAAGGGGCCACATCCCCTTAAAAACCCTCGGCCTCAACTGGACTGTGCACTCAGCCCCCTGCCTCTCTGCTGAGCCGCCCGCCTGACCTGCCCAGGTGTATTCTCTCCACTCAACCTTGTAACCTCGCTCTCTCCCAGTCTGAGCAACTGGGCACTCTCTCTCAGGTTCTGTCTGGAGAGGTGCCCATCCGTTCTTACGGATGTCCCTACCCTAATAAACCTTGCTATTTGCTTTCTACTTACTCTCTGTCTCATGCCTGAATTCTTTCTTGTGCGAAAACAAGGACCCTGCAGTTCTCCAGTAACAGTCCTTTATAAAATTTTTTAAAATATTTATTTATTTAAAAGGCCAAGTAACAGATGAAGAGAAAGAACTCACATCCACTGTCTCGTCTTTCTTAAACTCAGCAGAAATCCTATTAATAATTTCTAAAAAGCAACAAGCACTTGTAAATAAAGCATAAAATCAGAGTTTCAGTAATTTATTTTTCTGACAATGAAAATCCATCTTGCATTTTAACATATGCCCTAAAAGGAACACTAATAAATTGTATCATTTAGCATAGACTAAATTAACATATGGTAAATAAGATGCAATCTTCTTTAAATTAAAACATAAAATTTTTTCAATTATTTTTCTTTTTAAAAACATCCAGTTTCCAGACTGTTTTCAAGGGAGTGAGTGCATTCATTTCGAATTTTAAGGCAGTAAAGCCATCTTGTGGCTGATGTCAGTACTGCTAAGGTTTTGAGATGGTTACTTCTGCTTGGAAAAATTAGATCTTAATCAGTTTTGTGTTTATAAAAGATACACAACCCATCAGTGCTGGAATTAAGGTAGGAAAAATAAACCCAGAACTGAAAACCTTGCATCCTATGTTTCTACAGCAATACACACAATCCTCACATTGCTGAATTTACAGCAACTTGTTTTTACATTAACCTGTGTTTTATAATTTAACTTTTGTACTTTGTTTTTAAAAGCTATACAAATAACAGCTACGTAAGAAGCTAAAAATTAGCTTATTTTTGTGAAAAGGGCCTGCAGAAACCAGCATCTGCTTTGGAAGCCCCAGAAGCCCAGTATTTTGCATTTCAAAGTCCTGATCAGACCCTGATAACCCTCCAGGTGGTCCCAGCCCTTCTCCCAAGGAAAGCTCCCAGGAGAATTCTCTCTTCTCAGGACCAAATGAGCTACCTGACCTGATAACATGGGGCAATAAAACCTTTAGACACCCCAAGGGAAGCCCCGGGGTGCCAGCACATCTGGGGAGGAATTTGCTAATTTTCACCCCACAAACCCTTTTGCTAGGGCTCCCCATTATTTGTCCTGGAAGAAAAGGAGGACAGGGTAAACAGACTCCCTTAAAAAGTGGGAGTCT